TGCATAAGTTGATTGGTTCTCGGTGCCACAAAATGAATAGCTTAGAAGGAGTTACCACTTAGTAAAGACGAAGGAGTCCATCTCGTGAAGGGCAAGGTTGCACAAAGGTACAAGCTGCTCCGTAGATAGGGATATAGGAATTGAGTTTGTGTGGTTACTTTGTAAGAATTTTGATTTCACTAGTGGATTAGACTCAGTGGAGAGTCCTCGATTTTTTAACCGAGATATGGTTTTTTCCGGCCAAAAACATCTTGTGCAATTTATTGCTTTACTAGTTTCCTTATCTTCCTTTTGGTTGTGATATATGTTTTTCATTATCCACAAATACATAATTCCTTGCAACTAAACTTGTCAGTATTAAAATGTACACTAAACTGGACCTTGGTTAACTAGGAACCTTTTAGTAAACTGACTTTAATTTGGCTTATTCCGCTGAGAGTAGACATATTTGAGCTTAGTTAATGGGTATTGCTGACTAGTCAGACAAGCACATACACAGTTTTTAAATTGTAGGTTAGTCCATTTGGACCAGTTTCATATTCTTTTGTTTTTAATTATGAATATGTTCTCTGCCTTAGCAAGAATATGTAGTTTTTTTTTCAATTCGCTTATGATATTATGCATGTATGTTTTGAATTATTAACCGTTGTGTTTAAACAATCTAATTTTCTTAATGATTGGCCACCATTAGAATATTAGAAAAGTAATTTGATACAACTTTGGTTGGAGGGTTGTCCCTGAAATTGATGAAGGATTTTTGCAGTTACTAATTATAATTTCACTTATGATGAATAGCACGTCTTAAGAGTTGCATGAAGGTTTTCATAAAACTTAATGAGTCTTGCATGTTCAGTTTTTATTTGAATACCACATACGGATTGCATGTTTGATATTCGTTTTAGATTGGGGGTTCAAGTAGAGCATAAATTAGTAAAACCTAACCTTCAAAATATGCATATATAAGTCATAAGTAATTGCAAGAAGTACATATAATTGTTAAGGTGACAACGGAATCCTAATGCCTTTTTTACTTGATTTTCAAAACCAGTTTTCTTTTATTTTCTTTACTTTTATTGATTTCGAGTAGCAACACCACGACTACGAGTAGCATTTTGTATGTTTCATTTTATTTTTGTTTATTCGTTGCTGTTAGTTTTGGGTTAATCAAAGCTGCTCTTTTGCTTTAGTAACTTGGGAAGGGAAACAAGGGATTTCAATAATTGTTTGATTATGCTTAACCAAAGAGACAAGGCAGTGTGGTGGAAAGGGGGGGTTAGGACAAGGAGAGCTGAAATACGAGACAACGTTTTATGTCATTTTATTTAGAGTGGTTTTATGTCATTTCGTTTTAAATAAGTTCATTTAGTATTACAATCTACTGATATTTATCTTTATTCGTAAGTGAGAGGTTTTAGGTTCAATTCTCGCTAAAGGTAAATTTGAACCACATTATTGTTAACCTATTATGAGGCTTCAACCCACCTCCCTACTCTTTAGCGTAGATAATATCGTTTATTAAAAGAAAATAACAAATTTATCTTCTTATGAAATTATATGTATACTAAGAGAAAAACAACTGAAACACTTATTTATTTAATTTCATTTGGGCCACTTTTGCACGTGTTGGTCATCCGCTGCTTCCTTCATCTTTTCCTCTTTTTTGGACTCTTCTGCATCATCTTTTTCTATCCAAAGGGGATGACAATACCCTCGGGGCACATTTGTTTGACAGGATTAGCAAGGCTTGGACTGGACTAGACTATAGTCCTGTGTTTGGTGTGCAACCGGATTAGCTTTAAGGGTGCGTTTGTTGCGCCAGACTGTCTCGGACTGGACTAACTGCAGGGACTAAGCTGGACTGGCTTAGACTAGACTAAGCTGGACTAACTTAGTGAAGCGTTTGGTGCAGTGTCGGACTAAGAAGCAGGATAATAAAACGAGCCAAACATGAACACAATCCACCACACATACCACGCCAAGATAAATCATGTGATCCCCAATTCCATTTTCTTATAAAAAGTACAACACAGTGTTCATAGAAATTAAGAAAGCAAAGTGATGGGCCTCTATCCATGTGACAAAGTGACAGAGCGCCAAAGCATGCTAAAAAATCAGAGAAGAAAAAAAGTACGAAAGTATCCTAAATCACCTTAGAACCACCCGAGTGTATGTGAAACTAAAGGATTCTCGATTACTACAAATGCAAAGCTTCAAGTATAGTCCTAATACTAGTTATTCATCTGTATTGAAACTCTACATCACCATGAACGTTCAAATCCTGCACCTAAAACACGGTGTAAAGCTTCAGTCTCGCATAATGTCTAATTCGAGGAATAAGATAATCAAATTGTACAACTTAAGTTGGTTTAAACTTACACACAATACACACACACACTACACAAACACACACACACAACACACACACACACACACACACACGGCCACAATACACAAACACACACACACACACACACACAATACACACACACACTACACAAACACACACACACACACAATACACACACACACACACACACACACACACACACACACACGGACACAATACACAAACACACACACCCACACACACAATACACACACACACTACACAAACACACACACACACATATTACACTTACACACACACATATTACATACACACACACACACACACATATATTACACTTACACACACAAAGATTACACACACACACACACACAGATTACACAGAGAGAGAGAGATTACATACATACACACACACACACACAGAGATTACACAGAGAGAGAGAGAGATTACATACACACACACACACACACAGATTACACACACACACACAGAGATTACATACACACACATATTACACTTACACACACACAGATTACACACACACACACACACACAGAGTATACACAAACAGAGATTACACGCACACAGAGAGTATACACACACACACACAGACAAACCAGAGTACACACACACATAGTATACACACACACGCACACATACACAGACACACACAGAGATTACACACACAGATTCTAATCTCAATTTGACCTAAAAATTGATTTTGAAGTTTACCAGAAAAGTTGAAATACGAAAACCCCAAATTCTAATCTCAATTTGAACTAAAAATATGAAAACCCCAAATTCTAATCTCAATTCGACGAAATCAATCGAAGATTTGAAGCTTACCAGACTGTCTCCGACCAGATGAGGGCGAGAAGACGCAGAGATGAGGGTGAGGAGGACGACGACGAGGAAGCAGGGCAAGGTCGACGACGAGCGACGAGTAAGACGAGGGACGTTGGGGATCCTCGCAGAGATGAGGACGAGCAGGACGTTGGGGATCCTCGCGGTTTTCTCTCCGGGCTTACGAGTCCGCCCAAAATTGGGGTTCTTCGTTAAGAACTCGTAAGGAGGCGTGTAATCCGAGCGAGTCCCACCTAAGCCCATTAGGGCACGTTTGTTTGACAGGATTAGCAAGGCTTGGACTGGACTAGACTATAGTCATGTGTTTGGTGTGCAACCGGATTAGCTTTAATGGGCTTAGGTGGGACTCGCTCGGATTACACGCCTCCTTACGAGTTCTTAACGAAGAACCCCAATTTTGGGCGGACTCGTAAGCCCGGAGAGAAAACCGCGAGGATCCCCAACGTCCTGCTCGTCCTCATCTCTGCGAGGATCCCCAACGTCCCTCGTCCTGCTCGTCGCTCGTCGTTGACCTTGCCCTGCTTCCTCGTCGTCGTCCTCCTCACCCTCATCTCTGCGTCTTCTCGCCCTCATCTGGTCGGAGACAGTCTGGTAAGCTTCAAATCTTCGATTGATTTCGTCGAATTGAGATTAGAATTTGGGGTTTTCATATTTTTAGTTCAAATTGAGATTAGAATTTGGGGTTTTCGTATTTCAACTTTTCTGGTAAACTTCAAAATCAATTTTTAGGTCAAATTGAGATTAGAATCTGTGTGTGTAATCTCTGTGTGTGTCTGTGTGTGTGTGCGTGTGTGTGTATACTATGTGTGTGTGTACTCTTGTTTGTCTGTGTGTGTGTGTATACTCTCTGTGTGCGTGTAATCTCTGTTTATGTATACTCTGTGTGTGTGTGTGTGTAATCTGTGTGTGTGTAAGTGTAATATGTGTGTGTATGTAATCTGTGTGTGTGTGTGTGTGTAATCTCTGTGTGTGTGTGTGTATGTAATCTCTCTCTCTCTGTGTGTAATCTCTGTGTGTGTGTGTGTGTAATCTTTGTGTGTGTGTGTGTGTGTGTGTATGTATGTAATCTCTCTCTCTGTGTAATCTGTGTGTGTGTGTGTGTAATCTTTGTGTGTGTAAGTGTAATATGTGTGTGTGTGTGTGTGTAATATGTGTGTGTGTAAGTGTAATATGTGTGTGTGTGTGTGTATTGTGTGTGTGGGTGTGTGTGTTTGTGTATTGTGTCCGTGTGTGTGTGTGTGTGTGTGTGTGTATTGTGTGTGTGTGTGTGTTTGTGTAGTGTGTGTGTGTGTATTGTGTGTGTGTGTGTGTGTGTTTGTGTATTGTGGCCGTGTGTGTGTGTGTGTGTGTGTGTATTGTGTGTGTGTGTGTTTGTGTAGTGTGTGTGTGTATTGTGTGTAAGTTTGAACCAACTTAAGTTGTACAATTTGATTATCTTATTCCTCGAATTAGACATTATGCGAGACTGAAGCTTTACACCGTGTTTTAGGTGCAGGATTTGAACGTTCATGTTGATGTAGAGTTTCAATACAGATGAATAACTAGTATTAGGACTATACTTGAAGCTTTGCATTTGTAGTAATCGAGAATCCTTTAGTTTCACATACACTCGGGTGGTTCTAAGGTGATTTAGGATACTTTCGTACTTTTTTTCTTCTCTGATTTTTTAGCATGCTTTGGCGCTCTGTCACTTTGTCACATGGATAGAGGCCCATCACTTTGCTTTCTTAATTTCTATGAACACTGTGTTGTACTTTTTATAAGAAAATGGAATTGGGGATCACATGATTTATCTTGGCGTGGTATGTGTGGTGGATTGTGTTCATGTTTGGCTCGTTTTATTATCCTGCTTCTTAGTCCGACACTGCACCAAACGCTTCACTAAGTTAGTCCAGCTTAGTCTAGTCTAAGCCAGTCCAGCTTAGTCCCTGCAGTTAGTCCAGTCCGAGACCGTCCGGCGGAACAAACGCACCCTCATTTTCCATGGACTTCTCTTTCTCTGTCTCGCAACCAGCCACACCATCTATTCACTCAAAATTCCAAAAATCTTAAAACCTCATTTCCTCCAGTCGAAAAATCGCGATCACCCTTCACCATGGAAATTTTATTCGAAAAAATTATAACAGAACTCCGCTGTTCCCAATTCGAGAACTCTTCACTCTAAGCCCGAGTATCAACAAGGTCTCTCTCTCGCATATAATTTTGAATTTTTGGAATTTATCTTCAAGTTTTTAATTTTTTGGGGATTGTGGGATTAATTTTTTGCAACAGAGGCCAGAAGACTGAAGATTGCATTTTGGATTCTGATTTCGCAGACTTTGTGGAGTTGCAGCCTGAGGTGTGATTTTACAGCTGAAACTTCCAAGCTTTTTGATTAATCTTAGGCCAATTTTCTTTTTCTGTTCTGTAGCTGAAGCAGCTAAAGTTGAGTGTTTTAATCGGTTGTATATATCACCCAGTTTACCCGTTCCTATTATTGCTCAACAGGGACGAGTTTCACAGCAGGTGAGTGGAAATTCTGGGTGAGTCTTGATTGCCCATTACATATAACTTTGCTTCAATTTGTTCATCTTCTTTTGCATTTCTGTGCATTTTTTTGGAAGCCCAAACGATTCAAAATTGAAATTTATGTGTTTATTGATAAGTGTGAGTGTGAATGTTCTTCATTTACCTACTCTTTTTAATTTGGTATTTTCAGTTTTTTTATAGTTTTTGGCCAAATAAAAAAAATTAGTATTGGAGTGTGACATATTTGTATTAATAGATCCCTAATTCTAATAACTTAGAGATTCTCAACCGTGATATGATTTTGGTGTTTTCATTTTGTTTTTTGTTGCATTTTGTTGTTCTTGTCTAATTGTTATTTAATTAGTTTTGTTTTTTTTTTAACTTTGGGTAGGTGCTATTTTAGATTTTGTGTATCCCATTTGGAACTGATTCATAGGTGCTCTATAAAGTAAGGGTTAGTCTTATACTCATTTTTTAAAAACTGTGCAGAGTAGTTAAATATTGTGGCATTATAAAATCCTTGCTTTTGTGATTGCTTTTGTGATTGCGATATGATACTGTGTATTTACTTTATTTAATTACAATTTAGGTGTGATGGAAAATTTTAAATTCGATTTATGTGTATATATTTTCTTTTTCCTTCTTAGACATCAATTTATTGCTTGGTAGGACTAAGCTTATGACATATAGTATAGCTACAATTGCAACAATTATTAAATAGACAAATGACCTTTCCTTATATTGGGAAGCCAAACATCCAAATATAACAAAATGCATGGTTTGATACTTATATTTGTAACAAATGCGTCCTATAATTATAGTGGAATTCTTTTGATACTTAAGAGTGTTGCCTCAGATAGAGATTGAGCGTAGTGACCTGAAGGCCCAACTATTTCCCTTTGAGCTTTTTTAAATGTTGTAATCTACTTATTTACAACTTTACCATACTCTTTAGGAATTAATTTTTGAATAATCTGTTGGGACAATCTTAGTTCTTGGATTGCATGTTTGAAAATTTAGCCATTTGTTTGCAATTTGAATTGGATGACTCAAAATGTATTCTATAGCTGTCATAGTTCAAATCCAATTTCAAACCTTATTTGTACGCCTTTTGTTTTATCATTGGTCAGGTAAGACTCAACTCTTTCAAATTTCTCTTCATTTTGGATTACATGTCTGCCTAAGGATTTAACATTTTCCAGTGTAGTTTCAATTGCACAAGATAGTTAATTACGGTTTGCTGAATTTGGTTTTGGTTTTTGCATGATAGTTTTAATATTTGACTTTTATGTGTTTGTTTTGTTGGTTATAGATTAGCTATTGTTAAATATTTAATAATGACTTTTTTTAGGGTCCCCGGTGAATTATTTGTTTGGAGTTTGAACTTTTTTCAACCATGTTAAGAAGATCTAGAGATAGCAAACTCCATAAAATGATACAAAAAGACCATATTGTTGGTTCTTCCAGTGGCTTAAAAGTTTGTGATAAACCAGGCTTTGAACCTAAGAACAAAAGACCAAAAATTGTTGACAATGTGTGTTTAACAAGTATAAAACATAGTTCAAACAAGTGTCGATGTCGTTATGTTTGATAGTCCGAATCAAATTAGTAAAGGTCGAGCCTATTTTCAGAGAAACAAAAAAGGTAAATTATCTTTTTAACCTACAATTTCTTTGAGTTGATTATGTATTTATTACTCTGTTACTAATAGGTTGATTTTTTTCCTCCCCTTTTCACATTTTTTCAAAAGAAAATGTTAAGAAATATGTGGATTTGGGAGACAAGAATTATAAGTGCATCTACTATGTTGATTTCCAATATTATTCACAAAAATTCACAAAAATTCACAAAAATCTACTTCGTCTCTCCTCAAACCCCACTGTATTTCTTTGGCTCTTTTTTTCTTGGTAAGAATTGGAATTTTTATTTATCTTTCGAAACTCTAAACTGGTTGTTCTTCTCATATGAAAAATGAGCATTTTTATAAGCCAATTAAAGGCTCCCATGATTCAGAAACCTAACCAATGTACTTATCTTGAACAGATTACTTGAGGAAAAATGTACATCCTCATCTACACAAAAACAAAAATGAAAGAAGAGTGAACTACTAAATGGTAGTGTGAACAGTTTGGACATCGAAAATAAATATATTTTTATGTGATTGTATTAGGCCTAAGGTTTTGGGGATGTGGTTCTGCGACTGGGATTTCTAGGTGGGGTGGAGGTTGGAGCGGCTGGGATCTAGAGGGTGGTCTTAGGCCTAAGGTATTTGGGAAAAGGGCTGTTGTGTGTTGGTGAAGTTCGATAGAAAGATTTTTCAGTGTGACCGGAATACGAAATGGTACATCACGTGTTATTATGCAAATGATGGGAAATGTGTGTTAAAAAGTTAATAACTTAAAAAGTAAAATTTCACACCACTTATATAAAAACACATGGTGTATCATCCGTGTTCCTTTCATAATTAAAAATTTCTCTGTTGGATGGATTCTCTAATAAAAATAATCAACTTTTAATTTAGGATAATTTCTGGGAGAAATTTTTAAACCAAATTTACAAATGAAATGAGGTGTTACTAATAAGAAATAAGCACGTTAATCAACACTTAAGTAATAATGCAATCATCAATATCCACATCATTTGGTTTGCAAAACTTGGTTTAAAAATTTAGTCTCCTTAGCATTACTTTTTAATTTATTTTTTTTTTTTTAACAAATGATATTATCTACATTAAGGGAGAGGGGGTAGGTTTAATCTCACAATAGGCTAACAATAATGTGCCTCAAATTCGTCTTTGGTGATAATCGAATCTAAGACATTTCACTTACAAGTGAAAAGAAATATCATTAGACCGTAGTACTAACTTAATTTATTCTAATTTTTTGAAAAATAGAATTAATGTAAGGACATTTTTAAAATATAGGTAGGTGAAAAAATAATGCTTTTATGTTTAAACTTTTTATACGAGATGAGAATATAACGTGAGTGGAAAAATGATGTGGTTTCAAACAGCAGATGGAAGGTTTTTAAAAGGGGTTTTTAGGCCAAACTTGTTTCTGATTCTCCCCTTCCAAATGATGTGGTAGAAACTAACACACAAATTAAACTTTATAAATTATGCAATCGTAGTACAAGTAAGTAGAGATCGTTCTATTACGAGGATTAGAAGGAATGCTGATCAACACAAATTAAACTTATAAAATTGAAAACTAAGTTAAACTAACAACAAAACAATGATTGGAGGATTTTGTACAAATTTAATAAAAACAAAAAGTAAATGGCAGCAAGTAAATTGAGTTCTGAATGAAATATGGATGAAATGATAGTTAAATGATTCTTCTCCACACATGAATCATATGCATACAAATTGATTTTCAGTTATTCTTCATATAAATTATGAATGACAGTGTCCCAAATTAACTGTGTACAACACTAATTAACTCTCAGATTTTTCTAAATTCATTGAATTTGACTCAGCGACGCAACCAAATTATTTTTCTCAAGTTCCCTAACTATGAAAAGCATGATAGAGATACATCTTGAAGATCATTAAGTTATGTGAAAATCGTAAGTATTGACAAAACATTTGTAACTATGAAAAGCATGATACTCCTGCCAAGAATTTACTTAACTCAATCATGACTAGTGACTTTTACTACTTACAAATATAAGGTCATAACGTTTAGGTGAAATTTTTTTATATTCTAAAATCAAATCTCTGCATGCAAACTAAGTATGCGTCCTTAATAAACATACAATAATAAGTTTTCTATAAAGTAGATAAGTAAATCACATTCATGTTTTATGAAACAATAACTGGATGTAATCAATTTATATAAAACATATGATTATGGCTTCGAATTCACTTCTAGCTAAAAAGAAATTTAGTTACACATGTTCACTATAACTGAAAAGCAATCTAAAATAAACATTGAAACTTAAAACAAAGAGAGAAATAACTCTGAAAATTCCAACAACTTCAATGAATGAATGGTAGTCGTGGCACACCTTTTCAATGTTGCAAAACACTTCATATATATATAGGCCATGGCTAGGGTTTTCTTTAGAGTGAATGAAAAGAAAGGAAAAATAGGTAATCAGAATTGGGTAATTCACCTAGAGTTATATATAGGCCACGGCTAGGGTTTTCTTTAGAGTAAATGAAAAGAGAGTAAAAATAGGTAATCAGAATTGGGTAATTCACCTAGAGTAAAAAGGGCATGTAAAAGTGGCAAAAATGCAAGTTTTTATAGGGTAAAAGAGGCTACAAGATATTCCAAAGTGATCCCAGCAACTTAACCTTTATTTTGCACGTTTTTTGCCTTATTGGGCACCTCCAAATCATGCTAGATATCCCAATTCCTTTCTCATTCTGTTTCTGGTATTCTAACAAGCTAGATTCGTCTTAGATTCTTTATTTGGACTTCAAAACAAGTAACAACTTCTCTCCAACTAGGATTTCTCTTTCTTGTGTAATTCCTTGCCTTCCAAGCCTCAACTTTAATTTCTCTAGATTTTAGCACATGTTCCAGCCCATATGTTATTGATGTCTGTTATCCAATCCAATTCCAAAACTGCTCCAAATTGCTTCATTTGACTAATTATTGTCCTCTTTACCAATTGGACCTACAATAATACAAAAATAACTTAAATTAGTGTAATAAATGGAAATTAACTAAGTAAATGCAAGGAAATAAGATAATAAAGTCGCATAAATATGCTCTTATCACTAAAATACCCTAGAAAACATGAGAAAAGTGAGCATGAAGGAAAGCTAGAACCACCACCCATCCGAGGGTCAAGGAAGGAGTGAGGGACCTTTTTCGAAGGAAGAGAAAGAGGTAGTTATTGTTTTTCTCTGTAGCGACCGTTTAAGAGAAAATAATCACTACTATGAAACTATCCATTAGTGGCGTTTTTAAAAACAACAAGAAAAACAAATTCTCATCGGATACTAAGTAAAATTTGACAGGAAATGATCATAATGTCGGATAAGAGAAGCGATAGAAATGCTAGCATCACGAAAAAACTTTTTCTGTCGGATAGCACTCTTTCGCTTTAATTCATAAAAACGATAAAATCTATCTAGGATTGTATATTAGCTTTGAAATTTCTATGTTCCTTGCCTAACTTCTTATTAAAAGGTTCTTTCGATATTTATACTGTCTATATCGTTGTGCATGTAACTAGATTATGGTTGTGTTGAATGAAGTATAAATGGATATTTACTTAGAGATGGGAAATCAACCCATTGGGTTGTTAATGGGTACCTATTAAAACCCGTTTACTTTGATTTCACCTTACATCATCATTACCATTACCAATCTCACATCTATATTATGGTGATATCAAATTAAATGGGTCTTAATGGATACCCATTAACAATCTAATGAGTTAATTTGCCCCCTGTACGTAAAAAAGGTTAAAATAATGTACACATTTTTCCCTAATATGAAGAAGGAAAGTGGACTGAAAGAATGCATGACAAGGTGATATCTATTTTTTATCGATTGCAAGATGGATTCTGTATTGTCCTCGGATGAAATGCTTTCATAAATAGCATGTAAAGGGAAATTGATTGTACAAGTGGCATGTAATTGGCGTTTTTATCATGATTGTTTTGTGGTCACTTACTGAAATCCCTTTGTATTTTACTGATGAACCGACACACTATGGTGTCCTGAGTCATAGTTTCAAAATTCTTTGAAGTGTCAGCTATTTGAATTTGCCTAATTTTGCAGAGTATAAGGCTTGTTTAGACCTTTTCTCTATGTTTACTAAAGTTTGGTTTTATAAAAAAGTTCAATGTTTTAGAGGCCGAGATTTTTTCCCGAATATTTACATATAGTCTCTTTTAGTGAGAAGTAATATCCAATTTTACCCTATTTTCTCAGGAATGTTGCAAGTGAGACCTCCCTCATTATGTACCAAGTTATAAATAAACACTTCATAGCTGAAATTGGAGAGAAAAAAAAAACTTTTTTGTCCTTAATTGCTGTTTTGCTTACTTGGCGTCTTTAGGCGTTTGAGCTCCGTTTGCAAATTCGGTAGCATGAAATCATCTACAATTATTTCATTATACCATATGTCATGCCACGGACTCGGGATTAGTGAAATTAACACACATCCTGATCCGGAATGTTCACTAGAACTCCGAATCGATCTGTGTTGGCCGATACCTGAAAAGTGATGAAGTCATAGAATGTGATAATGTGTAAAATGTGAATAAATTTAAAGCTAAAAGTACAATGAGGTAAGATAGTAATCATACCATCATAAGGAGCCACCTGAAGTGGGAGTGCCACAAGTCCTCGTCGATACGAAACTTTGCTACTAGAACCAGGAGGGGTGCAAAATAGAAAGTGTGAGTGGGCAAACCAAGATTTTCAAAATCATTTCAATTATCAAAGGTAGTAACCTCTCGCTGTAAAATCCGTATAGTCTCCAGAAAATTATACTACGTAGAAGTATGAAATCAAACGTATACTAACGGTAAATCCAGAAGTACCACTACCAGTATCTCATTAGCAATATAAATAATCAGGTGCTTAATAATCCATACTAGTACGCAAGTTGGAGTCACCTAGTATGACCTATACGACCACACTCATGTCTCATCAATCAATGCTAGCACATAAGTCGGAGTCACCTATAGTGGCATGTACGACTTACCCATATCTCATCAATTAATGCTAGCACATAAGTCGGAGTCACCTATAGTGGCATGTACGACTTACCCATATCTCATCAATCAATGCTAACATATAAGTCGGAGTCACCTATAGTGACCTGTACGACTTACCCATATCTCATCAATCAATACTAGCACATAAGTCGGAGTCACCTATAGTGACATGTACAACTTACCCATATCTCATCAATTAATGCTAGCACGTAAGTTGGATTCACCTATAGTGACCTGTACGACTTACCCATATCTCATCAATCAATGTTAGCACATAAGTCGAAGTTACTTATATAGCTCATTTACCAATTCCTGCACACGAGTCAGAACCACTTAAAGTGGTCTGTACGACAGGCTAGGTGTAAATAAATACGCTCAAGTGCTACGATCACGTGAAGGCTGTGCAAAGTATAGCAAGTCACCTACGAGTCGGAACCACCTAATGTGGTCTGTACGACAGACTAGAACCTACCTTGGATCCAAGGTGAGCGTGTGGTGCGGGAGGTAAACGATCACGTGAAGGCTGGGCCCTGTCCTCGGGCGAAACACTAACACCGAGGTGCAGGATAATGAGCTATAATTACATCTCAACATAACCATACACACTGCAATCACTATCATCAACATGTACTCACCTGAAACTTAACTGGGCGTCCGCAGCGTTATTTGGCACAACCACTTTAACGTCCCAAAATTCTGAATAGGAACTAAACTCGGTAATAGGCCAAAATAAAATCACGATTAATCTCTATGCTGTTAACCATCATAACTTCTTTCCTTAAAGAAATCAAGTACCATGTTAAATTCGGGTTATTTTATGGCTGCATCTAACTGTCTTGTTAGACTACCTATGTAACCTCAAACGAGATCAAGCCATTCATAGTTCAACAATAATTACTTCAAAGAATTCACAGTAATCATAAGCAATAATCAATTTATAAACA